GGGAAACGAAATCTTCCGAAATCTTCAAAAATTTGGGAATCTTGATCTTCCATAAGATCGGGTTTGGGCTCAAGAGTATATAAAAGAATTTTTTGGGATGTTGAATTAATAGGTGGAAGAGAATAATAATAAATTTCATTAGAATTATTATTAATTAAATTAGAGTCCTGGGAGACTGGTGGAAGGATCCGAGAATACTCAGAGTTAGGAAGTAGATTGAATGTATTAAATAAGGAAATACTTCCACTAGAAATTCCTGAAGAATCGGGAACACTAGGAAATCCAGCACCTACTCTATCACCAGGTAATAAAGGTCCAGGAGCACTACCACCACCAGATGGTAAGAAAACACTATCATCTGCTTGAGGATCATTTAAGATTGACGAAATTTTTAAGAAAAGAGGACGCGAGATGATTGGACTAGAAGATTCCTTTCCTTCATGCATTTGAGAGTTAGAGATGATAGCGAATGCCTTTACATGAGAGCCGGGAACATTGGAATAACCAACGCCATCACCATATGGTAAAGGTCTAGGAATGCCACTACTACCAGATGGTAAGAAAATACAATTATCGTCTGCTGCTTGAGGATCATTCAAGATCAATGAAATTTAAGGGAAAAGGACGCGAGTTAATTGGACTAGATGATCCCCTTCCATCATGCACTTGAGAATTAGAGATGGTAGCGAATGCTTTCACATGAGAACTGGGAACATTGAAATAACCAGCACCATCATCATATATTAAAGGTCCAGAAGCGTCTCCACTGCCAGATGGTGAGAAAACACAATTATCGTCTGCTGCTAAGGGAAAAGGATGCGAGATGATTGGACTAGATGATTTCCTTTCATCATGCGTTTGAGAGTTAGAGATTACTTTTGCATGAGAACTGGGAATATTGGAATAACCAACACCATCACCATATGGTAAAGGTCCAGGAGCGCTACCACCATTAGAAGAATCATTCAAAATTGAAGAAATTTTTAAGGAAAAAGGACGCGAGGTAATTGGACCAAAGAAGTTTCTTCGATCATGCATTTGAGAGTTAGGGATGGTAGTTAATGCTTTTGCATCACCAGATGGGGAAATACCACCACAAGAAATTTCAGGAGAATTAGGAATACTAGAACAACCAGCAAATGCATCTCCAGCAAATAATGAAATATCATCACTAGAAATTCCAGGAGAACCATGAACACTGGGATAACCAACATCATTACCAAATAGTAAAGTTCAAGAGTGCACTACCAGGTGGTAAAAAAACATCATTATGGTCTTCATTCAAAATCGATGAAATTTTTAAGAGAGAGAAACGCGTTGAGCTAGTAAATTCCCTTCCATCATGCGTTTGAAGGCCATTACCATTATGAGCTTCACGTGGTGGATTAGAGATAGTAATGGAAGCAGTAGCTGTAGGTTTTGCAGGTTCTGCCTTTTTGTTTTCAGCTTTTTCTATCTTGCTAAAATTTAGTAAAATATTATTATTAAATATACTTCTATTGCTAAAGTTGTAAAGTAAAATCCTGCTTCATACCAAGCTTGGTTAAGGATTCTGCCAAAGAGTTTTTCTGGTTCTTGAGTTTTTTTTAAAAATTTTATGAGGTTGGAATGCCATTTTTTTTTAAAAAAACTGATGAGAATTTTGGATTTATTGAGTGAGTTTTTTTTTTAAAAAAAATTTCTTGAAACAAGAAATAAAAGAATGAAAAAGAAATATGGCTTTTTTCCTTATATAATATACTGTATATACAGTATATGTGATTAATAATTATAATGTCAAACAAGAATCAACTTGTATACCTAAAAAAGATATATACAATGCAAAAAAAAAAAGAGATTTCCCCCAATTGCAAGATCTAGCCAATTTTTAATTAATTGTCAATTATTATTTACATAATGATGATAATGACGTCAATTGAATAAATAAACTTTTGAATCGATTTAATTAAAACGGACTCTGCATTCATGGTTTTTTTAAACTATAAAAAGAAAATTATTACTGGTTAAACCAAATTAATATTCAATAGAGGTGCAATCATTAATTTGAAATGATTAAAGGCAGTAAAAAAAACTATTTATTTAGAAAACAAAATAAGTTTGTTTGAAAATTGCATGTGAAAGTTTATTTTTGTCGATTTACTTTGTTTATTAAGAGTCAAATCTCGAACAATATATTAAATAGCGCATCTTTTAACTATAAAGGAAATGGTAAAAAAAAGTTAATAATAATTTAAAATATTTACAAAAAAACGCCCTGTAGATTCTCGTGACGTTAAAGGTTCTTGTATAACCTGATCGATATGCATGATAACGTGATACAAAGACATACTGATCCTTTGCAGATTAGCTGCGGCAATTGCGGTTACTGCAGTACTAATACACAAAATATAATATGCCATACTTGATTTAACCAAAATAATTCGCGCTAAAAAGAAAATTGTACATCTAAAATTATTACTATACAAATTCTGCCATTATAACGGAAAGCAATTCTATTACGTTACTCCGACAGTCCGACTCAAATTAATAATGGAAACCCTATTCCCTTTATTTTAAACGGAAGGGTTCGTCTGCCGAGTTCTGACTATATATTAAATATTACTACTCATAAAGATGACATCCCAACTCCCAAAAAAGAAGGAAGAATAAGTTTGTTAGTTAGTTTAACAAAGAGAAACAAAAAGAAATATTGAAATATTTTCTCAAAGAATCTTAAAAAAAGAGATAGAAGCAGAATCTGAAATTCTGAACAAACATACTTCAAAGAAGTCATATAGCTTGTTCCTAAAAAAGGCATAACGAAATAACATTAATGTCGTTCTTAATACAAATAAAATAAATAAATAAAAATAAAACGAAAATACCACAAGCTCGTTGTAAACGTGAGTGTTCTAAAACTGAAACTAAGACTTGCAGTTGTACGATGTTGAGTCACGAGATTTAGAGAACACCAATCATTACGTTCACTATTCAAATTCTAGATATAGGAATCATGACATAAATGAAAAAATAAAACTGTCGTTTCTCAGTGATTTTATCAGTACTAGATTTAAAAATAGAAAAGAGGAAATCTTAATTGTTTCGATTATCGATATCGAATAGTATTTATTCATAGGATATGTAGGATATGACTGTAAAAAAAATTTATTTTTCGTGTAAAGAAAGGAAATATTCAACAATATCAATAACTGACAAGGAATAATTAAATTTTTCTTTTTCGTTTTCACGAAAATCAGCTTTAAAGTTTTTTCGTAGATTCTAATGCCCAGGGCTAATTACTAAAGTACGAAAACAGAAAATAAATTATTTTGTAATTACTTTGTAAAACAATAAGTAATTATTGTAATAATGGTTGAAAAATATAACTGATAAGCCGAAACGTGGTCCGGACCCGGCTCAGGCGTAGATTGTTGTGGAATTCCAGGGGGATTTACTGCGATTAAACCGGCGCCAACCAGGAATGCGGCTCCGTTTTTCGGCTAACTACACCATTATATTATTAATATAATAATAATAATTGTGGAGGGAAAAAATTTTGAATTCCCTTCTCAGAAAAATTTAAGTTTAATAATTACTCCTATTAATTTTTTTTTTTTTTTTTTTTAGAACTGACAAATCAGACGAATTTATTGATGAGGATCAATTTACAGATTAGTGTCAGTAAAAACTGTAAAGATGTGAATGCGTGTAAACAAAACCAATAAATCTACACGCCAGTGTTTGACCTAAGGGAATGGGTATAAAAGCGTATAGAACTCCGTTAAATATACAGTAGTAGATTACAAAATAGAAAATTGGAGATAGTAAAAATTGTTTCTAAAATTTCTTCCAATTAGAATTAGTAGTAAATCAATCAATGATTGGACAGCTCCACTTGTTAGCATTATTTAAAGTTTGGACGTTGATTACCGCACTATAATAAAGATGGTCATCGGTCCTAGAAGACCGCGGTCCTACGGTCCTACACCTTAAAAAGACGGACCGGTCCGTCTTGGTGTAGGACTGCGGTCTTTCGGTCCTGTATCGCATACAATAAGACCGTCAGTCTTTTTAAGGACCGCAGTCTTTTTAGGACCGATCGGTCTTTTCTTTTTTTACAAATAAAAAACTTTTCCTTTTTTTCCTTTATTTTTTTTAAAAAAAAATGAATGCAAATAAAAATTACCAAATTTCAAGGTGCATAAATATATATAACTTGAAATATTTTAAATTAATGAATTAGGGTATTTTTTCGAAAAAATATAAGCGTATAAGTGGAGAAAATTGATTATCATTATTTTATTTGTTTATGATTTCAAAATCGGTTGGTCTTTATATTTTTTATAAAGATCTTTATTAAATTAATAGTTATATTTAATATATAAATCGTTTATTATATGAAGACCGATATGAGGACCGGTCGGTCCTCGAAACGGTCCTACTGCGCCATAAGAAAATGAAAGACCGCGGTCCGGTCCAGGACCGAGTAGGACTGGTAGGACCGATGATCATCCTTACCGCAGTACCAAGTTAAACTGATTGTATAACGAACATAAAAAATTTTTTCCCCAATAAATAATATTATATAGAAAAGATCTTCTTATATTACGCAAACTTTGCGTAAATAAAATTGCACAAAGTATTACACATATTACGCCTATAAGTATTTTTTCTGGATAAGAAAATTTTGTGTTTCTTAAATTATGCCACATATGGTTGGTTTGATCGCAATCGCAGTAATTTTTGTGGCTAATAAAAGCCAGCGGTGTTTATATTCCGATTTTCCTTAGAATAATGGGATAGCGTGTTATAACAGATGCTTATTTGAATATGCTTCTAAGTAGTTTTCGCTCATGTCGGGACCGTAAAGTTATTAACGTTGTGATATTAATTACTCGAATGTTTTTAATGACTAGAATTTACAATACCACAAATAAAAATAAATATAATAAATTGGTAATTACAGAATTTGTTTATCGGCGGATTTATTTTAATAAAACAAAAGTAAAACAAATTAATCGCCCGGTTAGTTCAGTTGGTAGAACGCCACATTGATTGAAACGTGGAGACGCGGGTTCAATTCCTGCACTGGGCTTTCTTTTGCATACGTAAATTTTTTTTAAAAAAAAAAAAAAATTTTGGATCATTCGGATTTCGGAGTCACTTCCCGATTCTAGATTTAAAAATACAATCGTCATAGGACAAAAATATCATCATTTTAAGTTGTTTAATATTTTAATGAGATTATTCTTTGTTTCCTCGCTATTAATAGTAATTTTCATAATTTAATAAATAATAAAATAAAAAAAAATGGTAAATATAGTAATTGGATTATTTAAATTAGTTTTCCTTTAGTTCAGTCAGCTGATCAAAACGATCGAATAACCACGTATTATTTTTTTTATTTAGTCAAATCATATGATAAGCGTACGCAAACAAAATCAAATATTCCGAACCAATATCTATGAAAGTTGAATTTTTAATTTTCAATTATTGTAAAATTTTCTACAAATAAAATTTATTAAAACTTATATTATAATCGATGAGTATTATTTTTGATTTCAACAAACAAACTTTTTTTCAACTGTCATCTTTTAACGCTACGTTTTATCTTAATCTGAATCAGAAATATCCCTTTATTAAATTGTTAAAATTTTTTTGCGTAAAATTTTATTTTTTGTTAAATTTAAACTAAATTAAATTAAAGTCATATCAATTTAATTATATATTCGTAGCAAAAAAATAAACCGAATAAAAGCAATAAAATTATTAAAGATCCATAATGATATTATAACTTCCATTTTTTATATTTTATTGAGATAATAATATATTGTTATCAACATTTGTGACACCATTAAATTAAAATAAGGTATGCTTTGAAATTTCATTTTTCAAATTATCATCAAATATCGAGTATTCATTATAATATTTCCTAAAATTGTAATTGATTGAACTTACTTTTCTTGTACGCATTAGACTACCCCCAAGAGTTCCGCCATCCCGCACCTGCTTCGTTTTTTCGGTTAGTCAAAGCCATTTAGGAACGGGGCAAGATGACTTCTTGGCATTCTATTTTTAATAAGAAATCATTTGACTCATACCTTTATTGTATTATGCATTTACATTATCATATAAAATATTAGTATACAACTTAAGTTAGAATGCCTATCCAACCTAGGCTAAATACCTATCTAAATTAGTTCAAACTTCAAATAATTTTAAAAGTCTCCATTCATTGCGTATGTATAAGGAAAACACGGTCATAAAAACCCCTAGCCTGTGCGACAAAGATACGAGGATTTTCATTGCACTAATGTTAAAATATATTTCATTTGTAGTGGTCCGCGTGATGCAGTGGTAAGGATAGATTAAGAGATGATATTAAATATAAATAGTTGCTGTATACTATTAATTGTCAATTTGTTTTTTGCTCGCCATATTTTTATATTCAAAAAAATTGTATTTATTGAACACCGCCTTCTTACTATTATGCCTACTATCCGTTATGAATTAATTGCAACAGCAATTAGTAGAGCACGGACGTTAATTGATTATAATATTCAGAAAAACGTACATGATTATTATGAATATTTACGACAAACAATTCTCGATGACAATACACTTCCAGAAGATGAAAAAACTGAAGCAAAAAGAATTATTGATAAAGATTATGACCGAGATAAAATTAGGTATAATTCAGGAACAAGAAGAATTTGTGAAAATTGCAACCCAAATTGCTTAGCTATATCATTTTGTGAATATTGTATTCAAAATTATCTTGAAGAAAATTTTCTAAATTGGGCATCAGGAAACAATGAAATTGACATCTTAATACGAAATTGCCAAATAAAAATGCAGGGACCAGATGTGACAGTAGAATGGATACCATGGTATAATTTACAGAATATTAGATATCTAACTCAAGGCGGATTCTCTGAAATTTACATAGCAGATTGGATTGGTGGACCGTATATTGAATGGAATTCTAAAAAACAACAATTAGAAAGAATTGAAGTATATGGAGTACAAAATTTTGTTGTAAAGGTTGCACTTAAAAATTAGAAAAAGTTGAAAGAGCAGGACAAATTTGGATTGAAGAGGTTTGTGTCTAAAAATATTTATAATCAAATATTTTATATTATCGAATACTAAAAAAAAAAAAAAAATTAATTTCTAGGCCAAAACACATTTAAATATTAATAATTGTCCAAGAATCGTTCGGTGTTATGGTTTAGCACAAGACCCATCAAATGGACATTATATGCTTGTAATGGATAAAATGGATGTTGATTTAAGAGAATATTTACGACAATATCATAATCAACTTACATGGAAAAAAAGGATTGTAATTATCTTTAAAATAATTGAAGCACTTTATGTTATTCATTTTGAGAAATTGGTTCATAGAGATTTTGCATCCTGGGAATATATTATATTCACAATTATTTGATTCATGGTGTATTAGTGATCTTGGACTTTGCGGACCACCTGATAGGTCATTAAATAGTATATATGGGAATCTTCCTTATATAGCACCCGAAGTTATTATCGAAAAAAAGTATTCCTTTGCATCTGACATCTATAGTATTGCAATGCTTATGTGGGAAATTTCATCTGGGCAACCTCCTTTTATTAATTTTGAACATGATTATGATTTAGTATTAAAAATAATAAATGGAATGAGGCCAAAAGTAATACCAGGAACTCCTTTAGAATATGCAAATTTAATGAAACAATGTTGGGATGCTGATCCATCAAAAAGGCCTAATATTTATACACTTAGTAGTGAAATGAGTGAAATTAATGCATTATTCCAAAATATGTCTGATGAATTAGCAGGTGTAAGTAACAATTTAGAAACAAGTAACATCGAAACAAATTGTACAAGCAGCAGATTATTTACATGTAAAGTACATCGATTTGAAAATCTTCCTCAGCCAAGAAATGCAACAGAAGGTACATGTAATATTTATTTTCTATTTTTCTATTACTTTTATTTTCATTTAATAATATTTTTTTTGCTTTATGTAATAATAGAAGAGCAAGAAGGTAGTGTGTAATTAATTTATCACCGTAAAGAGATCTTGATTACTATACCAATTTATAACATTCATTTTTCAATAGCGTTTCATAGTAAATTATATGAATTCAGTATTCCTAATAATAATAAGTCTTTATCAAAAACCTCGTCAGATTCTTTTATTATGTAGTATTAATTGTTGCTTCCACATTTTAGTTGATGACTTTAATAACTCAAATAATCAAAATTGCATTATTACATCTAAAATAAGTAGTACTATGAATAGTAGTGAGTTATTTATTTATTTATTTAGGTGATATAATATAATAAGTACGCATTAATTCATCAATTTTCTTCATTTAGATGACGAAAAATTACCTGATGCATTTAAAACCTCACAAATAAATTCAGAAAATGGTAAGTAAAAATTTATTACATTTTATTAGTGAAATGTAATTATAATTAAAATAAAGATCAATATGATTGTAAAGAAGAAATATTGCAATAATGAATATATTGACATTAATCATTCTATAATAATGATTTCAGATTCATTTAATATCAAATTCATCGTTTTCCTGGCGAAGATTGGACTTATTATGTATTTCATCGACTTTATTTGTAAAAAAATGGAAATTGAGATTCCTTATGTTGGTACTTCAAAATCGAATTAAGTTAATTGTTTGTAAACTAATATATATTTAATTATTTGGATGGATTTTAAAATTACTTTACAAATTTAACATTTTGATTTACTGTATATTGAATTATTTAAACACTAAGACTAGAGTAATAAGAAAATTCTTAGTTTGTAATTTAAATAATTCTCTTATCGTTATATTTATATTTATACATTATCGTACTATGATAAGTTACTAAATAAATAATCATTTTATAGTGAATAAGATTTTATATTTTAATTAGATTACGCATTTTTTTTTAAATAAAGCACGTGTATAACTTGACAAGTTAAAAATTCAGAAAGCGTATTTATTTATTTATTTATTTTTGGCTGATTTTCGTTACATAAAAATTGTTACGCCTAAGAGTTATATTTTTGTATCGAAATTTCATGCTGTCAAGTTAATGACTCAAAATTGGTTCAACATGCCCGTAAGTCAGTGAGCTGCCTCCTCGATAAACTGAAATTGAAAACCGAACTTTAAGTTTGAAACCCAGGTAAGAAATAAATAATCGCTATAGATCAAATATAAAATCAACTCTCACTTTGAATGAAATTTAAAAAGAAAATTAATTAATGGGCGAAATACAATAGAAAAAGGAGAAATCAGAATTTTAGTCGAAATTCTTTTTGGTTTTAACTTTGCTGATCATAGTCATATTTACAAAGTAAAATAATAGTCAAAATTCTGGTTTTCCCCCTTTTTTAACTGACACGTTCCCAATAATTTTAATTTAAACACAAAAAAATTTTTTTGAATTCCGATATTTTTAACTATGTATTTATCCAGATAATGATCGTGATATCCAAATATTCGAAATAAAATTATCCAGGTTCATCTTTGTTAAATGGTCATATTTTTTACTGAAATTTCAGTCTTATTTGCATTGATAACTCAATTATTGATACAACTTAATATAACATTAACAATTTAACGTAAAATATATCTAAAATTTCTTCACATAATTAATTATCTATACATCAAAAAATACGTTTTTATTCCTCCGTTATTAACAAATACTTGCTAAATTATCGTTATTTAATATTAAAAAGTATTGATAATATAATTTATAGATAGTTGATAAATTTCCTCAATAAACCTCTACCAAAATTTATTTGTACATACTTCGCACAATGTACTTTATTAGGACAATCACGAGAAAATGAAGATTTTTCTTTTTTTGGATAATTCCAGCGGCATTACGTAATTCTGGCCTTGAGTAATAAATAGTAAACGCCGCTCTCTTGTTACCTATTTATATATTACTTGGAATCCTCGTATAAGAAATTTATTTACTACTTATTTATTTGTAGTAGTTCTAATCTGCATGTCATAATTAGACTATTTAGTTTCATAGTTACCGTTATGACATACTATTAAAATTATTAATTG